AACAGAAAAGGGTCTTGCCCAAACTATTCCTACGAAGTTGGAAGCATACAATTGTTCAAAATGTCATGGTCTGCTGAAGCCTTCTTTGGAACTAAGGGTTCTAGGCCAACCCCTGACAAACGACCCCATAGCATCATCCCTCCTCCACCAAACTTTACAGCTGGCACAATGCAGTCAGGCAGGTAACGTTCTCCTGAGCTTCACCAAACCCAGACTCGTCCATCAGACTGCCAGATAGAGAAGTGTGATTCATCACTCCAAGAATGCGTTTCCACCACTCCAGAGTCCAGTGGCGGTGAGCTTTACACCACTCCATCTGACGCTTGGCATTGTGCTTGGTGATATTAGGCTTGCATGCAGCTGCTCTGCCATGGAAACTCATGCCATGAAGCTCCGGGCGCACAGTTTTAGTGCTGATTTTAATGCCAGAGATGGTTTGGAACTCTGCAGTTACTGAGTCAGAGCTTTGGCGACTTTTATGCACAACTTTACGTGGTCTGACACTTCGTAGCTGAGTTGCTGTGTTTCCTAAATGCTTCCACTTTTCAATATTACCACTCACAGTTGATTGTGGACTATCTAGGAGGGAAGAAATTTCGTGAATATATATACTAAGACTAGTGTTTCTGTCAAAAATCATTATTTAATGTGGGTGTTTCTGTTGTTCTGTCATATTGTCCACCGTCAGTATACACACACACACACACACACACACACACACACACACACACACACACACACACACACACAGACACACATTGTGCTCATTAAATCATGACGGTCAGGTATCAGCAGAAAGAGAGAAACACAATAGCAGAATCAAACAGAATGTCAGATCCCACGGAGCTCCTGCACCCTGACCCACACCGTACCGCACTGCACCTCGCTCGCCCACTCCATTCAAACCCTTCCAAACAGCATCACGCGCAGCAGACATCCTTTCATCAGCCAAATTAAACACTCCGGGAGCGCAGCAGTCTGCAAGGTTACACTGCTTTCTCTACAATTACTGCTGCTCACTCCCATTACAGCCTGAAAATACCTGAGAGAGAAAGAGAGAGAGAGAGAGAGAGAGAGAGAGAGAGAGAGAGAGAGAGAGAGAAAGAGAGAGGTGTCCTTCTCTGTCAGACAGAAGGGTATCTGCAGTGTGAGGAGTGTTACAGGGGGATTTGCTGGGGGATTTAGAGAGAGAGAAAGGAACGTGCTCCAGGACAGAGAGAGAGAGAGAGAGAGAGAGAGAGAGAGAGAGAGAGAGAGAGAGAGAGAGAAGAAAAAGAAAGAAGAAAAAGAAAGAAGGAAAGAAAGGTGGTGGGAAAGTTAGAGACAGAAAGAGAGTATTAGAGAAAGAGCGATAGAGAAAGAGAATCACTGTGTGAGTACAGGTCAAGCACATATAAGAAGCTTCAGAATACGAGTAATATTCTGCATTAGCCATTTGAAGAAGCCCAATGTGCAGCAGTATAAACAGTGTAATTGTGGTTTGTACTGAATTGTAACTGTCAGCCTGATTTGTACTGTGACCTTTGAAAATCTGATAATTCCCTTTAAAGTGACATAGAGGGAATGAAATACAACCAGATCAGAGTGAAGGCCTGAGGAGTGTTCAGTGGAATCACTCTAGTGAAAGGCACATTGTATATGGCAGGCGACTAGTGCACATTAACTGCTGTTCTTCTCTATTTAACCTGAATAGCTGCCCCTTATTAATACTCCTTACAAAGCTCTCTTCTTATATTTCATTGAATTATTTCTCATTCAAAGCTTATAGAAACGAGCAGATGAATTCTACTGAAAGTGTGGATTCCTCAGTTTCAATCCATACCACATTTGTGTTTGTAAGTGGTTTGGAGCTCTTGGTGCAAGGCCCAATGTTGGGCCTACTGTTTGGAGATCACATGTTCAGCCACAGCCACCCTGAGCTGAGAAATACAGAGAGCACAGCTAGCCTCACTTTCTCTTGGTGGGTAAGATGGTCTCCTTCTCCCCTCATCCCTCTGATGTAATAGAATCTGCAGTTCATGTTCTCTTTCAGGTGTGTTCACTTGTCCAGTGTTGATGCAGTAGCGGCAGTTTGAATGTCTCTTGGAGGAAGCACATTCTAACCCTTACCCTGCCAGCCTGGAAGCATCATGTGATGGGGAGGCCTAAGTAGTGGGTGAAAGTGGACATGACTAAAGTTGGGAAAAAATTGGGAGAAACCCCCAAAACAGTTGAGCGTACAGTCTTGTTCTGCAGAAAGAAAACATTATTTTTTTTATTTAACAAAAAAATGTGAATTAATACATAACTTCATGATGCAATTACCTACGTAGTGTAATTTCTATAAGATATCAATAGACAAGTCATAAGAGACTGAAATGGAAATAATTCAAGATTCTGAAGAAGATTCAGCCAAAGTGCTGACCAAATTAACAACAGATCTGGAATGACTCAATGACCGGGAGATTGGAGGACGGCTGGTTCCACCCCAAGACCAAAGAAAGGAGACCAGAAAGAGTTAGCAAGCTATCAATTTAACTTATGTCCAGTGTGCGAAATACCCCTTTAGTATCCAGGGGTTCCATGTTGGCTGGCTGCTAACTCACTTGCCATTGCTCTGTTGATTCTAGCTTCAATGGGAACAACATGTTTGGTTTAACAATTCCTTTTTTTCAGAAATGCTCTTTTCTAGTTTGGCAAAGGTGCTCCTCCACACATTAACTGAGATCTTACAGAACAGAAAGGTTCGTCAAATGCGGTAGTTAAGTTGCTTTTGCAGTAGTGAAGTACATTTGGAGTAGCTGGCAGATTTCCTTTGTTGTGACATCATTCCAGTATGCAGGAGTGTTAGCTTGCTATTTGCATGGATGTAGCATCATTCATATTTTGACTCCTAATGACCTAGAAATTTAGAGGTACCTGGGACATTCAGTGGAAAACAAACACAGAAGAAAATGCATTGGTTTTGGAACCTTTTTGTTTACTACAGTGCGTGACAGCAACGATTTCTGAAATACATTTTTTCATAGAGAAATCTTTGAGCTGGAGTTCCTAATATGCTCATGACAGCAACTACAGAATGACAAAAGGCCTCAGAGGTCTGTTGCGCTGGGCATGTGCTGATTAAAGTTGCAACTGTATTCATTTGGGCTGAAGTTAGTACATATCTGCTACTGTGGCCACTCCCACCATCACAAAGTGCCTGTGACTGTATAAAATTTGCGCCTCTCTTAGTAAATCTGCCTCAATGACTACAGGCTGCTAAGGGTTAAACTGTGGAGGAGATTCTGCACTGAATTACAGTATCTAGTTTGGTACAAAGTGTGTGTGTTTGCCTGAGCCTTTGATGCTGAAAGCTGCTGTGTAAGCACGTCTGTGTGTTTCACTGGCTGTGCTGGTTATGAGCCGCTGTAATGATTCATTAATTATGTGGAGTGTATGGGTATCATCAATAACATGAATGGAAGTCACAGTCCAGCACTTTCCATTAACTCTCACACTTTACAAACGCCACTCACACTGACGCACACTGCAGCTCTTACAGCACAGCCGCCACACACACACACACACATCTGTGCATCAGCCACGCTAACGCACCGAATGTCATTTCAGGGGACACCACAGGCTGATCAATACAATATCTAAGCAGTTTAGAAAAACAAGGAATGAAATAAATTCAGAATGCTACTTGTAGCCATGGCAACAGGTCATTTTCCCTCCAGTCATTTTCTTCTAGACAGAATTTCAAAACATTTTTGATTCAAGTGGGCTTTGTTTGAATCCAGAACAGAATGACTTTACACACTGATTTTCTTCACACGGCAAAATGCACAAGAGGCTTTGTGGATAAAGCAGATGTTTTCGGACTGTTTAATGATGGTGTATTTGCAGCTGTGCCCGACTCCTCATTAGCATTGCAACACATAGAACAATTTAGAGGTGACAACAGTAAAAAAATGCACAAATCAATAAATGAATCCGGACACTTTCTCATCAACAAGCTATGTCAGTCTTCAATTGCGTAAACAAACCAACACTGGTTGCTTGAGCACGGGCTGGCATTTCCTTTCCTTATTCCTAGTCGTAGACAGTGTAGGGGTGTCTGAATAGGACGACATAACGTACCTTCTTAGGGGACCCCACCATCTGTCTGCACACTGTGAGAACACACCATTTCCCCATATATTCCAAAGGACCTGAACATTTGTAAAAAAGCACGTCAATATACAGCACTGTAAAAAAAGAAAGAGAAATTCTGGAAGAGATGAGTAGAGAGGATCAGAATAGATGACAAAGCACAGTGAAGACTCATCCAGGAAGTCACAAAAGAACCCACATGAACATCTAAGGAACTGCAGGCCTCGCTCACCTCAAATAAGGTCAGCATTCATGGTTCCATCATTAGAAACTGGAGCAAAAATGGTATCAATAGGGGAGCTGCAAGGCAAAAACCATTGCTAAGCAAGAGAGACATAAAAGTTTCAGTCACATTTGCCAAAACCATCTTGATAAGCCTCAGGCCTTTTGGAACAATGTTCTGTGAACTGATGAGTCGAAAGTGAAACTTTTTGGAGGACAGTTACGTCTGGCGTAAAGCTAACACAGCATTCCACAATGAGAATATCATTCCAACAGTGAACCATGGTGGTGATAGTGTGATGGTGTAGGGATGCTTTGCCCAACCTAGTTTTATGCATCAGTCTATGCAGATCATTCACAATGGAATATGACAACGCTAGACTACATTGTTGTAGCTAATCAAAACTAGGCACACTGGAAACAACAATTTCCCAAATTACGCATCTTTGCTAGTGTTAGCTCGAATACACAACCAAAAATAACATGCAGTCTATCTGAGCAGTGTGACCTTTCATGTGCATACAAAATAAATCCATTTTTGGCAGTTTCTCCTAAACGAGATTTTTGCACTGCAATGAAAGAATGCGTTTGTAGGTGGAGCACTGATACACATACACACAAAACAAAACACACACACACACAACAACAGCCCAAACATTGACTTCAGTCTTAATCAGTAATTTATTTGTTGGCAAACAAGTTTCACTGTTACAACAAATATTAGTTAGGAGGTCATTCAACTTCAAAAATCAATACAAAAGAAAAAAATAAAAGAATAAATAAAATCCATGATCACCTTTGCGATGGTAAAAACTATAATGTGTGTGGCTAATTTTAGCGGCGGACATTTCGCTGATAGTTTTTTTTTTCTTTTATTTTCCCTCCTCTTTGTGTTTGTTGATTGAAATAAATAACCGTCTTCTACTGGCCCAGCTGGAATGAAAACACACACAGACGGGTTTGCAGTTTTCTCACTCCAAACATCGATCTTTAATGAGTACAACCTCCCCATCATTTTTATACAAGTGCCTAGTGCATTATCAACATGGAGATCATTCTTTTTTATCATCACTGGAGTCTTCCTCTGCTGTCAAATTCGTGAGGAATTTGGACTTTTGCCCTCAGAATGGCAACATTTTTCCAAACGTTTCCTTTTTATTATCACCTATATCTACACATTAAAGAAACTCAGTCGGAAAATGAATTATTTTTTCAGAAACAATGAGAAAAAGTCACAGAGGGGGAAAAAAATCATTGGTGGTTACATGGACTTTTTTTATTTTTGCTTTTTTAACTTTTTTTTCTGTGATTTTATTTGCTGCTGCTGTTCATACTGAATCGTAAAAGAAAGAAAAAAACAAAGGAAGAGAAGATGAGAGCGGGATTGAAGTCCAGACCGAAAACCGATTCTAAATCACCACGCTTACGGAGAGACGGAAAAATAAAAGCAGACTGTTCAATTGCTAGTAGCTGTACACTTACATAGAAATATCTTATAATTCTCTGATATTAGTTTTTTTGTCTCCACTTTTTAATATTTGTTATTAATACAGCAAAAAACGGAAAACAAAAAATATGCTCTACGGCATGTTGTGTGATAAAGTCATCCTTTTTTGCGACGCGTTTTCCAAAACCTCCGGCCTTTCACTCCACTTATCGGGACTACTGCAGCAAAGTGTACCGACCTCATCGGACAGGAAGAAAAAACATTTAAAAAGCAAAATGTCAGATAAAGAAGTGTATTAAAATAGTCTTTTTCAGTGTCTCCTCCATCTGATTCGACTGCTGCCGAGTCTATGCACTGCGTCAGTAGTAGAAATGTTTCTGACTGTGTTTTTGTAAATCCTTTGGGACGCACGAACGCGAACAGTTTATCTCTCGACCGACTAAATAATACATTAATCCATGAGGGGTCCAGTCCACCGTGGGAAATCGCTGCCCTTGTTAAAGAGTCTGCAAAGAACGTCCGATCCATGTCTGCGTCCAGATACCCACAATCGTCCAATCCTCTCTAAATTCAAATACAAAAATCAGAGTTTTTCATTGTTTTTTTTCCTCGTTTTTCCGATTTCACGAGAACACATACAAGAAATGTCTACGACTGCGGACGAGGGACCGGTACAGGAAAGCAAAGGAGACCACGCGAGGAGAAGGGGGCTTCGGTATGAGTCACGGGAGTCAGAACGGTGTGTGTGTGTGTGTTTGTGAAGAGGGAGCTGGTGGTTGTATGTTGCGCTTGCATCGATGCACCAGTGGTCACCAACCCTCCCCCTGAAGATACACTTTGTCTGCAGAGGTTACTTCCAACCCACATCTAACAAATCTAAGGCTAACGCACCCAATCTAGCCAATCAAAGACTAAAAACATCATTGTGTTCTTTGGAGATTAACTGTGTGAAGTGCCAGGTTTGGCAAAAGAAGCCCAAGTTTTTGCAGCTGCACACTTCTCCTTCAAAGTAACAAAGGTTTATCTACCTTCACAGTCATGTTAGCTAGTTAGCTAGCATACACACTGATTAAGTGTGATTAAGTCATTCGTTTTTATGTCATTTTAAATGAAATAATGTAACTGCGGCTTCCCTTCTCTGAAATATATCATTTTGGCTAACAAACCTTTGCCTTACCATTACTGTTAGCTAACACCTCAGCTAGCTAGCTAATGGAGCAAGTAAGCTACCTAGCTGGCTAACATCTGCTGCCGAATGATGCAACTCAACTGACATGCTCGGCCCATAAATGCATTCTTTCATAGAATGTTGAAAACTTTGACAAGCTTTATAGAACTTTGGCAAAAATTCTGTTCAGCATGAGCAAAGTCCAACTACGGAAAACATCTGTTGTAACAGTAGCTATGAAAAAATGCATTTGTGGGCAAAGCACGGATAAATCAAATAAGAGAGCATGAATTGGTCGACTATCAGAGTCAGATTTAAGTTGGAACTAGATTCTGCAATAAGGTAGATCTCCAGGACCAGGGTTTAGTGACCGCTAAACTGCTCTATAAGCTGGTGACAAGGTGGGGGGGCTCCTGCGGCGTTCCGTCGGCTGAAGAAGAAGACGCTTCGTCCTTGTTGCTCGCAGGACCGATGAAGCCATCGCTGCTGCCACGGCCTAGCTGGTAGTAAGAGTGCAGCTGGTGCAGGTGGTTCCGTGAGCCCAGGTTGGGCATGCTCTTGTAGTACACATCATCAGGCTCAGCATGCGTGTGCCCTTCTCCGCCTCCTCTGGGCAGCGTGCGGGCATCCAGCCGCGACTCGGGTGACTCAGATGAGTCTCTCTGGGGCTCGGGCGTCTCTTCACGCTGTTCTTCCGTCAGGAGAGGAAAAAAACTCTCACTGTTCTCCTGAGGGAGGAGCCGGCGGGAGGCGGAAGGGGCAGAGCCAGGGCCAAAAGATGAGAGGGACTGGGCGGGAAGGGAGGGGCGCTGTCGTGGCAACAGCGGTGCATCCGAATCTGACTCCTCGCGGATCAGCTCCAGGCCCAGACCCTCATCCGGCACGAAAGCCGGAGAGTCATCCAGGTCTAGTGCGAGATCAACAGGCAAAACAGATGAATCTTTGCCTCGGATGCTACCGTTGTTGCTAAGGTTAGTGAGATTGCTGACGTGGCTCATGTTGCTCACGTGCGCCACGTTTCCGACGTTGTTGACCAGCTTGTTGACGAGGTTGCGGCTGTGCTCGGCCGAGCGCTCACGGTTGTTCAGGTAAGAGGGCAGGTAGTTGGAAGTCAGCTCTTTGAGGATGCGCTTCTCCAGCGTGGTCTCTGGGTGTGGCCCGCCGAAGCCGCGCTCAATAATCCGCACGCAGTCGCTCACATAGTCCGCGCCAGCCAGGCTGTAGCTGTTGCCGTGGTTACCATTCAGTGGTAGAGTATCCATGACACTTGTATCCCGGGCATTGTTCAGAATTCCCTCTGAAAAAGAGAGACTCGGAGTAAGCACTAATTAAAGATAGCACAAATGCACACTCATTACAAAGGATTATGCACGCTCGCGCACACACAGCCAGCCATATCCAACACATCACACCACATCCTGACCAGATTATCTAGTACCGACTGGACTCCTTTCAGTGGTTTGAACCAGTTCAAATGCAATAACTAATTTTAGTCATATCAAACAGTAATTGACCATTTGCAAAAATGATGTCTGACAGGCATCTCAGCTAATCAGAAGCACTACTTCATCCATAAAGTGAAAGAAAACCATAGATGCCACTCAGAACTCCTCACATCAAATCTGCAGTGAGAACGGCGGCAGGCAGTTCTGTTTTTAATATTGCACCAAATAGCTCTAGTGTTAGCTTCCCTGTTAAAAATAACAGCATGAGTGAGCATAGCTGGTCACCAGCAATGCCAGTATATGTCGTGTTTTGGATGCTGGTGTGCTGGTCAGCCAGTATCGCCCAGATCTGATGTATGTAAACTCCAGAATCTTTATTTCTTGCTTCACTTGCCTTCTTTTTGAGTAATTAAATGTATTCCTCTGCGTGATTCTGTTTTACTTAGTGCTATTTTATTCTGATAGCATAAGAGCTATAGACACTACGGCGTCCTGAGATGAACAGAGATCTAATGGAGGGGGGAATTTTGCAAACAGTCAATTCTGCATAGCATAGCATGAACTTACCTTTGTAAGGTAACATATATTTTGGCCCTATGTTTTCTCAAACGGTAACTAAAAGCATCCACTAAACTGTCCGACTGTATAGTCAAATGAGAACACTGGTAATGACAAACTGCACAAACTGTGAAACACAAACACGCACACTTACATACAAACTCCAACACAATTAAAGCACAGCCATGCTGAGGCTCGATGTGTAAGCAGGTTTTAGGTCAGGCTCCAATCAACACTGGCCCTTATTTAGCACTAAAAGGCTTACATGGCTATATAACACCATTAAAAGAACAACTTTTGTATTTAAATTAAGCATTACTTTTCACTTCTCAGTACTTTAATGTGCTAAATAAGGCCGGGGGAGGGGGAGGAGAGGGGATGAACAACATCTCAGCTCTCTCATGCAGAGAAAGTGTGGATCTGCGCCCGCTACAGGCTCCAGAACTTTCTCTTGGATTCATAGCAGAGAAAAAGTGGGAGCAGGTGACAGATATATATTCTATTCACGTCTCCGGAAGTGCTGTTTTTTATTTATTTTTTTTTTTACTGCTTATTTAATCGAATTTAGCCTCCTTACATCACAATAAAAAAACTTTAGTAATAAACAAATTTGCCTGTAAACCTTCTCTTTTCTCCTTGATTCTAAAAATTGATTGCTGTTTTACCAGGTAGCACTTAAATTAATGAAAAGGAAAAAGGTTTTTATTTCTTTTTCTTCTAAATGGTGCCTGTTTTTTTTTTTTATGGAGGATGAAGTAGTCTACATTTCCCAAAGAGTACACCTTCAGAAACAAACAGAAAGAAAGAATATAGCGTGGAAGAAGGAAATACGAGGGCAATTACATTTGGTAAGCAATATTTAGCTTGACTCCCATACTTGTCTCTCTGTAGGGCTCTTAACGGACAGCATGGAGAAAGAAAGAAAGAAAAGAAGAAAGATAGACAGAAAGAAAGACAGAGAGGAAGAAAGAAAGGAAGAAATCACAAGTAAGCATCCAGTGACAAGTCGCAGAGAACATGCACACAGATTGATGAACTGTCGAAGAATAATGACCCGCAATTGACCGATCCATGCTCCAAGCACGTTCTTTCATAGTTGTTGTTGTCGGTTGGACAAGGCTTACAGAATGTTGGCAAAACCCCAAAATAATCAGCAATCATAGCATATAAGTTTGGTAAAATACTTATATTATTCATATTGGACGGCTACAGTGCTGCACTGTTGGAATTGATTGAAACTAGGCTGTACAGGGCTTTCTCAACAATGCCAATATATGGAAAAATAGAGTGCATTTCTAAGTTCAAGGGGTGTTTATTTAGTCTCCGTGTGAACGGTCGCCCTGGCTACGTATACATGCAAAGATTTTATACCAATTCATTCTGATTATAGATTAAGACTAAGGTGTTTATATGCTCACTCTACTCAACAATCTGAGGAAAATCTCAGTTTACAAGTAATCAGATCCAAAACTGCATAGCATACCACTTAGAGTAGACGTTACCATGACGACGAGCATCACGTGAGGCCATTCAGAGTGAGACCAGCAGCAATATATTACCTTCAGTTGTCTCCCTTGTGTTTTTAACCCTCTCAGGTTGACGACGTCAATCCTGGCATCAAAGAACGTCGCACATAATAGAATAAACATCTTGGGAATGTTGCGCACTACAGACTCACTTTCATTTTTTCCCGGAAGACTAGAGTTTTGCCGTTTCAATGAGGGCTCCGCTGCGATCGTATGCCTTTCAGAAGCTTTGTAATCCAGCCTTGAACTGTACTGTCTTTTTAGAGACTGTAAAATAAATCTGACACTGAATGTCTTGTGAAATTATTCCTTTCTCCATTTTGAATATAGTAACTGTTGCTCTTAGCAGGGCTGTTGGCCATCCACTGACGCTTTGGGTCGAGCCTGTCGACCAATCAGAGGATGTTCCAGAACAATGCTACCCTTCTGAGCAAACTGAAAGTATGTCTCTAGCATGCAGCGTTCACCAAATATTTTATATCTACGACGTCATTTGATGTCACAGATCTGGGAGGGTTAATTGCTTTAAAGTGACGGCAGACGCAGGAAAGTGTACTTAATAAAGCGGCGCGAGGAAGACGTCATGTCCTGCAACATTCTGAGACCATCCGTCAATCCTGCCAACTATTTTTAAGTCTTTTAAAGTTTGAAGCATAAACTTTGTCTCTTCTGCAGACCAGTTTACAGCTCCCGCCATGTTGAACGCAAATTAATGACGCAAATTAACATGCACAGATTGGACTTTCTGACTGGGAACATAAGCAGATCCAGCTGCTTAGCTACATAGCTATTATTCTTCTATTGGTCAGTTTATTCACAGGATCACCACCTCGTTTAATTTAATAGAAGTTCAGAATGGACGCAGCTTGACTAGTCTATTCCGACTAAGGTGTATATATGGACGTATTGTATTCCGATTGAGCCATTAGTTCGGACTGTTAACGGATAATCAGACGAGCTACTGTTAGGACTGATCAGCTAATCAACCATTTCATGGTGGCAAATTTGTTGTCATTTCCAACCTGCCTTGTTTCAATTAGCTATAACAACAAAGTCCAGCTTGATAGTGTTTTAAACGTAATGTCGTGACTCCAAACTCCAACCTAAATAGCAATTTTAACCAACGTTCTGAAAGGCATATGCAACCCTGCTACAGTTTACTATGGAAGAACCCATGTGTGGGTGGAGCATGGATAGGTCAATTCATTCCCTTACCCATCTTGAAACACATTACTTACACAGACACAAACACACAGCAATAAATAAATAAATAAATAAATAAATATCTAAAAGAAATAAAACTATCCCAATCAGCCGGGCATGGAAAGAGGCAGCCTTTAAGAGAGGAACCTTGTCGAACAAGGCACGAGGGGGGCTACGTCTCTGTTAGAGTTTCAGGAAGAGCTCCACAATAAAAAATAAAAAAAAAAACTGTATAAGAGAATTATTGATTGGGCTAAAGAGGCACATTAGGAGTATCTTGGGCTCCACACATAATTTCAGAGCTTTTATTGATATTAGATTTCAAGGTCGCTGCAATGTTTGGAGCGTGGACAAAGGCAGGTTTTATATCCTTGCTGGTTTGGACCTGGAAACACAAGGCCTTTCCTTGTAGCAAAGCTGTTGACCAAAGCTGTAGTTCGAGTGTAACTGGCGCCCCATGTTAGGATCGCTAATTGTAAAAGATGGTTCTTGTAAACTGTTTTCTGCAATGCCGAATAATAATACCTGAAACAGGGAGGAGCAAATAAAACACAGACGGGTATAGAGAAAGAGAGACACATACAGAGTCAGAGAAGGGGAAAACTGATCGGAAGAAATGAAGAGAGAGAGAGAGAGACAAACGGAGCGAAAGAGGAGAAACTGGCGCGACAGCATCATGCAGCGCTGCAGCAGCCGCCGAGAAAAGCGCCGGGCCCCCCGCCGTGATCTCCGCAGGAACACACACACACTCGCACACATGCAGACCGCAGAAGCTTTGCAAGCTCCACTCTGAACATACATCTCCCTGTTAAGCTCTGGGAGTAATACGGCAGACGGCTGTGGAGAAGCACAGGTGCTCTAGGTGGAAATCGAAGCCAATCAGCATCAGTTAAAGTTTTGCCTTTGAAGGTTTTGTATTTGCTCTAATGCAGATAATGAAAGGAGCTGAGATGTTGCAGTAGTTGACCTATCTGTGTTCGGCCCACAGATGCTTTATTCACAGCAAGTGTTGATAGGTTGGACAAGCTTTACAAAAGGTTGGCAAAAAATCCTTTCAACTTACTGAGAGATTGTAGTGCACAGCTTATTCACACTGGGCCACTACAATGCTGTACTATGTTGTACTATATTATACACCACTGTGAGATGCAATGCTGTACTATATTGCTGTGACTAACTAATCTATACAGAATGTTGTCCAGAATCCCATTCAAGCTAATGAGTAACGATGGTGAACATCTAATTTTTACCAAAATACATACATTTAACATGCAGTAATAATTTGAAAATGTATTTCTTTTGTATAAGTGAAAGGTCACGGTCTTAGGACAGTATATATAACTACATAAAATAATAGAAATTGCCTGCCTTACTCTGCCTCAAACCTACAGCAAGTGTCTATGATTGCATCACCTTCTAACTTCATGCAGAACAATGTGTTTTACTGCTTTTTTCATTACACTGATAGAAATAAAGGTTCTGTACAGGCACATTTTTTGTTCATCAAGGTACAATGTAAATGTTCCCTCAAAGGTACAGCAGTGGTTTTAAGGTCCAACTGTGAACCTTATATAAGTTTTTCCAGGTGTAAAGTACATATTTGTACCTTTTCATAACCTAATAATTTAAAAGAGAACAATAAAGTAAAAAGCCTGGAGTCGAGACGGGGTGTGTGGACCTTTTATACTCGTATTTTGACAAAAACTAGGTTTTCTCATGTTGTCGTCTAAAGCTTGTCCATTCTAACAACAGTAAGCAAGAGCACATGTGTAGGTCAACTGCTACAGCACAGTTCTTTTTTAATATCTTGGTGTGGTGTGATGTTCAAGAAGGAAGACCATGGAGGGAGGCCATGAGGCAGCAAGTTGAGGAATGCACATAAACCCAGAAAGAACCAAACATTCACGCACATTCACTCATCAAAATGCCCAAACACACACCCACACCCATGCAGACTGTTAGTTGAAGTGAGTAGAGGCCCAGCACACCTTGCGTGTTGTACATGCTGAGTGGTGGGTTGTTATACACGGCCGAATCCCCTACTAAAGTGTTATAGGGGTTGTTTGAGCCGTGCGGTCGCAGGAGAGCGTTTGAGATGAGATGGTTGGCCATAGCACCTGATACAGCCACACACGCACACACACACGCACGCACGCACAAACATACACACACGGAGAGAAAAGACACAGAGAACGTTAGACAAACGCAGCAGCGACATCCACGCAGCGTTAACGTGGTTCCCTTTACAGTTGCGAGGAGGAACAAGGCAAGGACATTCGAAACACTGGCATTAGCAGTCGTCTCTCAGAGACAGAGGAAGCACAGAGAAAACACTGAGACGATGTTGGATGCTACAATCCCGTCATTTCAGCTTATGAACATGGCAGGAGTGTGTGTGTGTGTTTGTTTTTGTACATTTGCAGGACAAAAATGTCTTTGTGGGAAAATGTGAAAAGCAGGAGTTACTTACCTGATCAGAGAAACAATATAAAACGTCTTTTTTTATTTCATTTTCTTAAACTGAGAAGGGCAAAACCACTTCTTTTTTGGTTCCATTATACATAGTTATACATCATCATATGAAATCTTAACTCCACTTTTTAATTTTGTACTATTTGCGTTCATTTAAAAAGGCCAGATGCCCTTTACACTGTGAATACTGCATGATGAATGATGGAAATGGTCCAAAATTGTTTGGAGTAAAATATATTAAATCGCATCACTTTTCTTGTCCTATACAGTTAGAGATTTTTATGACACCAACTGTATATTTCTGGTTTGAATTTATTATTCTAAACACTCTGACGTAAGTTCTGTTAAACACCTTCCTTTATTTATGCAGCAGTGATTTGCAAACCATGGTGGACCAGTAATAGATTCGTTTGATCTAACAATGGGGGGTTAGCAGCACGGCAGCTGTAATAAACTATTTTGAGAGTCTTATTATTATTATTTGGGTAACTGAAATTATTATGAAAGTATTTTTTTATCAAAGGCCTAATTTTTACCCATTGAAATGTTCATAAACTAAATGTATTCATTTTAAACAATGGTCTATAATACATAGGTACAGTCTTATGCATGCATGTAGGTTGCTACTGGCTAGTTTTAGTTGAGAGCTACTGGAGATGAAGAAGTCAAAACTGGGGAATCTAATAACATTAGGAAACTTTTATTTGTGCCACAAACCCAAAAAACCCCAAAAGACAAAAACAAAAATGATACCAAGAAAACAAAGCAACATTCAATCTAAAATATGATAACAGCTACATAAGATACTAATGTGCCAAAACAATTGTGTGGTTTGCAGAGAGAAGCTAGTAAATGAAGCTAAGAAACCGTCCATTTACTTCACCATTTGGAGACAAAATGTTCCTCAACAATAATAAATGGGGGCACCCCCATCCCCCACGACCACCCCCACCTCCCACCTCCCACCCTGAGCTCCACTACCGGTCCATCAAAACCGCTGTTGCCTGCTTTTAATTCTATGCTGTTCGAAGTTTAGGTACCCCTGACTTATGGGCCAACAGGGTCTGCATATCTCATCTTTACATGTAATAAATATCAACTTTAACTGTTTCTTTATGATTGGTTTAAATCTGTACTAACTTGAATGTGACCAATCAGGTCCATCTCTGCAAGCAGCAACCAATTTATCAGATCAGCATATCTGTGAAGTTTGGCTTGCAACACATCTCTGCCCCGTTTTTTGGGAAAAACAAATGACACTCACCATAGCCTGTAATGTAAAATAGCAGTACACAACAGAAGCAATAGAGAACCATCAGAATTGAATTAGTGTCTTTGGGTCATTTAGAAATATATGTTCATAAATGTATGCCTGCCACAGAACGCGTACGATACACTGAGGAGTTAAATTTGCTTCATCATGAGTCATGTCTCTTCAGTCTCCAAGCACCAGGCTGGTGCAATGACCCCACTGAATGGCCAGAGGTGTCTATATTTATCTTATTGAGCCTTCTGGTCAGCAGGATACCAGTGAAATATTATACTTTTGAAAGTGAAAAGTATGATATATTTTACTTTTCAGTCCTGCTCTACAAATAATAAGCTGGCCAACTTTAGCACTCAGGTTGTTGTTAGTACAACCAACCACACAGCAACTCTTCAGCACAGCATTATTCATTTTTACTGGCTAGTTCAGTACAAAAGTACTGTTTTGTTATTGTTGTCTACGCAGCATGCAGCATCGTTTTCTCTCAAAAAGGGGTGTGGTGGTGAGGGCCTACTCTGGATGATGTATTGCCAATCTAAAATACAGGAACAGATTAAATGCCTAGCTATAGCAACTCAGACTATGTTTATTGACTACCATCAATGGATGATCAAATATACGCCCCTCAGTCTACGTGTGGTTTGTTTTTTCCACAATGTTTCGGCCCAATTTTCTTCCGAAGTTAGTTCCATTCCCTGTAGGTACCTCCTTTATGCACCTTAAAGAGCCACACCTGCTAGCACTCAAACCTGCACTGCATCAGCTAGCAGGTGGCTAGTTAACTCTGCTTTAGCCGTTAGGCTTAGAAAACCTGCTTTTATTAAAAAGCATTGGCAAACTAGATTTTGCAGCTTGTGGGCGATTAGGAGAGAAATTAAAGGAGAACCAAATGTCCTGAACGCTGAGGCACATGGCTGACTGCTGTTTCTAAGTCGTGAATGTGGGAGTGCATGCTGTGTAGATGCTTCTGAGTAAGCGTGTACGTGAGTGCGAGAGCTTGAACCAACTCCCTGATTCACCCAATCATTCCCTCTTAAAGCCACAAGCTGAGAAGCTGTTTTTGATTGCATCAAATTCATACTATATTCACTTTGATTCTGGAAGATTATGCTGTTCAAAAATGCAGCTATTCTACCCCACTGTGAACTGACATATGCAAAGAATACAAACAAACAAACCATGGAGAGTTTTGAATTGCGGCTCGTTTTGTACGGACGAAGACGGAAATTTGCATTTACACTTCCTTTGTGTCTGTCAAATAAGCGTATAGATAAACTACCTTCACTGACTGATTATGTTGGCAAGTCGGAGGCATTTTCATAAACTACTGAAACGCACTGTCTATGGACTGTCATATGCAAATAATACAAACATAAACAATACTTGCAGAGAGAACTGTGGCTCGACGACGATGTATGCAAGATTCCGCATTTACACTTCGTGTCTGTCAAATAAAGAATTAAATGAAATGTATTGTCTTCATTTTCCTAAAGAAGCATTCTGGCCTAAAAGTAGCTTTTAATGTTATTTTTCACGTTATATAATTATCTATAGTTCAGCCTCATTGGTTTGAAAAAATGATAATTTTCTGTTTTTGTCCATCAATGTTCTATAATATATGTATAAACGTATGATTTAGAATGTATGATAGATGAACATGGATAGAGATGATCAATTTGCTTTTACAATCACTACAGCTGGTTTACTGATACGTTTAATCTGCAACGAGAAACTATCAAACACTAAAAAGTCAGCTTCTCATTCGTCAGCTTTGTGTTAGAATTTCTGGTTCCAACTTAAATGGTGCAGTAGTTACATTTAAGGTGGAACACAAAAATTCAAACAAGAAACTGGAGAATGAGAAGCTGATTTCAGCTTGTAAAAATTCAAACACTGAGAGACATTTTAACAGAAACTATTCTACTTTTGTGTCAATGTTTCCTGTCAGAGATGCGAGAAAAGCGGCTATAGCTAAGCTAAAGCTTAAAGCAGAGCAAGGCAGTCTGCATTTCCGTTTATCTTATATTTTTTAGCCTTCACTAGCACATTAGCAGATACTGAGACACATTTACAGCCAAGATGGTCAAACGTTACTTCAACAAAATGGACATAAAAAGTTGTGGCTCCCAAGTTGGTTTGAATCTTGTTGAAAGGACAAAATGGCTGGGTTGCTGACCCCTAGCCTAAAGTATACAGATGTGATATTTAGCTTCCTGGCAGGAAAAAAAAAAAACAGCACTCGAGTATCCACCCCCACATGCTTGTAATTTTCTGAATGTTTCTCCCACCTTCACGATACATCATCAAGGGGGGTTTTATAGTCTTTAAACTAAAAAAGCTCGACACTGTGGCACCGCTGTAGGAGGCGAGTATGCATGTTTACAACAGATGTAGCAATTATTACACTCTTCATTTTAGCCGGAGTGACAGTAGTATGTGATACTGTGTATTATGTGTAGATATTATGTACTTGAATGCCACTGTTTTAACCCTTAGAAGGCTGGTTAATGTTACATAGTTATAGATCTAATTCACATTACATAGAAACTAACTGTAATATTACATCATTATCAAATGAACTACAGCATGAAATACACTTGAATGAATATTTGATTTACATTCAGTATCAACAGGTTTGAATCAGCACTGCCAACTTTTTTCAATATGTTCAAAAGTAACACAGAAACATGGCAAACGTGTGCAGGATTAGTTATCTGTTCACAAAATAAGACAAAATTCAAATTCACTTCAGGATAAAATATCTCTGCTTCTACTTACAAACACAAACGTGGTGTTGAAAGTTTACAACCCACACTTTTCACAGAGTTTCACTGCGTGTTTCAATGAGAAATGTATTCATATTGATTGGCGGTGACAACTGTAGGATCTAGGAGTTAATCTCAATGACTCAGAAAGGAATCAACTCAGCTTCTGAGACTAAACTCTTCACCTTTCTGCTTAAACTGATTAACCTCTCCACATCTAAAATTCTACATCACTGATAAACTCCACAGCTCGATTTGAGACTTGGCCAGTTGACCCCTCCTACCTTGAACGCTCCGCTGGCTGCTGTTATTAATATGCTTGTACATATTCATTACAGCGTTTTTGTATCCTGCAATCAGGATGTTTATTTGCGCATTGCTGATTTTAGTTGACTAATTATACACCTCGGAAAAGGCGCTTTTGAAGCGCCGAGCGGCGAGGGAGACGCTACTGCAGCATCTGGCTGCTTTCCATCTGCGCCGATCGCGGAGAAATAATCGCGCGCCGAGAAATGAATTAAACACGCAAACGGTGTCTGGAACCGAAATGAGTGCTCAGTCTCTATGGAGAGAGAGAGAGAGAGAGAGATACACAGAATGAATACAGATCATTCCAAAACAGCCAAAGGACTGGTGAACTTTCGACTGGCATTGTGAAAAAGTTTGTGCACTCAAATGATTTTGTTTGAACAAGAAAAATGGCTGTGAATTTCATCAGTCAAACACAAGCCTTGGGCAGGTGCTGCTAAGCAAATTTGTCTCCAAACAGCACGGCCTGAGGGACACTAAATAAGTCAAGCAGCCCACATAAACCCAGCCCACAGCCAATCTGCATCATATTCTCATGAATCATCTGTTAAACTGTGTTTCTGGCGTTCTGCATGAGTGTTTATATGAGTGTATTTTTATTTAACTCTTTGAAGTTATGGTTCATCACAGTACGAATAAGGGTTTTCTTTTTATGTTCATTTTATGTGATTTATTTCTGGTATTCTACATTTTCAATCCATTCCACATGTGTTTGTAGGCAGGAGATGTATTTTATAATGATCTGAATGTAATGAAGAGATTATAGTTGTTTGTACAGTCTTGTTTTGCAGAGAGAAAAACATCCTTTATACTTTTTTCCACACTTCTTTCCACATTGACTTTTTATTTAACAGAAAAATGTCAGAAATGCAGACTCAAGGTCCTTCGTAGCGTTGATTACTGCAAAGTGAAACACGGGATAGATGAGCTATGTGATCGTCGTCATTCAGCTAAAGCTGACCTAGCGCGTACGTTTTGGACTTGTTTTGTCAAGTTTTGGTTGACAATTACTAACTGTTTACCAGAAGTATTTGATCTAGAGAATGTACCAAGTTTGAATTATGTTTATTTGTGTTAACACAGATTCAAAAATTCCAAATAGGATTATGGAGGCCTTTGCTTCCTTTCTGGGAAGGAGGAGGATATTGATTAATTGGAAATCACTGTATCTACTGAAGACCTCGCAGTGGCTCTGCGATCGTATGCTTTTCCTTAAATTAGAAAAGATGAAGTTTTCACCTGGAAAGGCTTCTGTAAAATTTTATAGAACTTGGGATTCCCAGAATTACACATTTCGAGAAGCTGAAATGTCTCACCACTAACTAGCATCCCCTCTTCCCCTCCTCTTCTTAATAGCCAAATGATGTACAAGGTATGAGTACTTTCTGACCTATCTGTAACTATGTGAATATATTTTCATATATTTATATTTAAATATATGTGTTTACAATATGGTGTGAAATGTGGAACGTACAACCCATGAATACAAAATAATGTTAGAAAATTAAAGTGTAATTGTGTATTTTTCTGTAAAGAGAGGTTTGTGGTGTGTATGAACTGTGTGTAGTGTCTGAACAAAATCCTGAGCCCTGTTTTCAAATTTGTGCAAATTTGTGCATAAAACACAATCATGTTAAAAAATTAAAGAAACGCAGACTCAAACCTGTCAATACAGAATGTAATTTAAACGCAAGTGAAAGTGTATTTTATTATTATCATTGCTAGGAAATTCATCAAATGTGCAAAATTGTGCAAAAAATTCAATTTTTAAGTTTGCTCCCTCTAAACGACTTATTTTCAACTTTTACATATGGCTGGTATTTGTTTATTTTCAAAGGCCTATACAGAAAAAATATATATATATCTTTAGAGAGAGGTTTGTGGTGTGTATGAACTGTGTGTAGTGTTTGACCAAAATCCTGAGCCCTGTTTTCAAAATTGTGCAATCATAAAAATCTGTAATACTGAGTTATTGCTTTTCACTTCATTATCACAACATCATCCCACAGCTTTACTGAACATTGTATCTCACGTCTATACTGTGCAGCCCTGATGCCACATCAGTAAACCTGCATCTCACTGGAAGGAGGAAGAGTGGAGTGGATTTGGTTATGGAGTCTGAAGGCAGTGACAGAAGCGACAGCAGGAAGACAGTTTGGGAGAAAGTGTGATGTTTTAGCTCTACGGCAGCTCAGGAAGATTTTTCTGGGATAAAACTTTCCTGACCCAGATTCCCTCTGAGTGCTGAGGGGATTCACACTGTTTCATCTTCATCATGTTACACACAGTAACGAGTGACGACATGCGCCACCATTCTGCTCTGCGCGCGCATGTACCTGTGTGTGTGTGAGAGTGTGTGTGTGTGTGGGGGGGGAGCAGTGAATGTTAATGTGTGTGATTATTTCACTAATGTATCTCACACACTTCTGTTTCTGACTGCAACATACTTTCACTTAGCTTTAAAACATCTGCTCTCTCCACTCGCCGTGAACAAGGAGCACTGAGTGTGTGTGTGTGTGTGTGTGTGTGTGTGTGTGGATGGCTGTGTTGAGTGCCTAATTATTGCCATCTTGACACTTCCTCTCTCTCTGCAGCGTCAATTCGTCATCACAGCAGCGCATTAGTGTCTTAGTGAACTCAGAACAGCTCTGATTTAAAGAGAGAGAGAGAGAAACAGAGAGAGAGCGAGAGAGAGAGAGAGAGAGAGAGAGAGAGATAGATAGAGAGAGAGAGAGAGAGAGAGAGAGAGATAGAGAGAGAGAGAGAGAGAGAGAGAGATAGATAGATAGATAGATAGATAGATAGATCCTGCTGAGTGTCGTAGTCAGCTCTACACTAGACTGAAGCGCAGGCCTGTACAGGGGTAGCAGGTTTAGATGTTCTAATCTGTCGATAAAACACAGCGACTCTGTCTCCAAACACGTCCTCTCTGCTGTGGCCAGTTTCATGTTGTTCAGAACACAGCTGATCTAATTTAATTAGTCAAAGTAAATCATATTAATTATCCACTCAGAAGTTCATTTGTTGTTCACTTCATCTTCATCAGCTGTTAACTCTGAAGGCTGCTCTTCATCATCACTCCTGTTCCATTATTTTCCTCCACAGGTAAAAAGAAATGACCGGAGCTGTAAGACTGAGTTTTATGTAGTGCTGCTGTACGTGAGTGAGTGACGCATCACACAGCAGAGCAGAGTGAGGATGAAGGCTCTCTCAGGAGACACAGTGCGCTCCTCATTAGCATACACTGCAGATGTTTCAACCTCACACCGACCAACCCCTCACGCAACTGAGAACCCAGATCATGCTGCTGTGCTGTGTACAGTTAATTAGCATAGTTACTGAGTGCTGCACTCTTCTGTGTTTACATTCTTATAATCTCTCCCCCGTATCTGTATGTGTATCTGTATTTGTTCTAGTTTTATATTGTTGGGTCTAGTTTTGGAATGATAACATGTTCTTCTTAATCTTGAACTTTCTCCAACGAACGCTAGAATTCTCCAACAAATATCAACATTTCAACACTGGCAACTTTACAACAAGCCAAATGAACCACTCTGAACAGGGGAGAACATTCTAGAACAACGTGAAAGGGAGAACAATGCAGAGGAGTGTAAACGGGGGGGATATTTCTAGAACAGTGTGAATGGGGGGGTATTCTAGAACAGTATAAATAGAGGAGAACATTCTAGGGCAGAACTGTCTGAATTGGGGAATATTTTTCTAGAACAGTGAACGAAGGATGACATTTTAAAAGAATGAGAGAAAAACAGTCCAGTTGAGTACGAATGGAAGAGAAAGTTCTAGAACAATGTGAATGTGGGAGAACATCCTAGAACAGTGCTAATAGGGGAAACTGGGTGAATAGGGAGAATATTTCATAAACTCTCAATCACACATACAGTCACACACAGGTATGGAGCACCGACCTAACATTTGGGTTTTTTAGGGCTTCTTGTTAAAATTAGCTTTCGGTGTTTGTTAGATGAACCTTTGATGTGTGTTACAGAACACTGGAATTTTTGTTGGATGCTGGAGAACTTCAGGGGTTTTGGAGGGTGCTGCATCTTTTGGTGTCTGATGGAGACACTGGATCTTTATTGTTACACAATGTGGAGGTTATTGGAGAATGTTGAAATTGTTGTTTTTTGGTTTAGTGGTTTTTGCTAAATTTAGTGGAAGTTTGGTGTTTGCAAATAAATGTTGACATTGTTGGAGAATACTGAGGCTTCTGGTGTTTGTTGGAAAACACTGGGGCCTTTGGTATTTGTTGGAGAACTCTGGGATTTTTGGTGTTTGCTCAAAAGCATTGGGTTTTTTGGTGTTTGTTGGAAAATGGAGTTGGAGTGGTTCTCTTGGGAGAATGTTAGGGGTGTCGGTGTTGGAGAACTCTGGGGCTTTTGGTGTTTGTTGGAGAACTGTGTTGCTTTTAATGTTTGTTGGAGAACACAGGTTTCTGTTGTTTTTTGGAGAACACTGGGGTTTTTGGTGTTTGCTGAGAAATGGTAGGCGTTTTTCTTTGGAGATTGTTGGGGTTGTTGGTGTTGGAGAATACTGGGGTTTTTGGTATTTGTTGGAGAGCATTGAGGTTTTGGTGTTTGCTGTTGGGTTTTACGGTTTTTCTTTGGGGAATTTTGGAGTTTTTGATATTTCTTGGCGAATGCTGAGGTTGTTGGTCTTGTTTGTAAGAGAACAGTGGGGCTTTTGGAGTTCATTGGATACCTTTTATTGTTTTGGTGTTGGAGAATGTTGGGGCTTTTAATGATTTCTGGAAATATCTGTTGTGGGTTTTTTTTTGTTTGTTTGCTGTGCTCTGGACTTTACATTCATTACATTCATTACATTTAAAACAGTAGCAGCCACCTTTAATAAGACCATATGGATGTGTGCTGTTTACATGTGTACATGTGTACCTCTGTTGATGGTGGCTGAGCTGTTGATGTCTCCAGTGATGAAGGACGATTCAGACTGTTTCCTCACTGTGTCGTTCCACATCCGACGGATACGACTCTGAGGAGAACAGACACACATCACAATGTCATGCGCACACACTTAGACAAGTCAAAAAAAGCCTGGTAGAGGAGCATCATGCCAGCAGCATCATCCGTCTCCAACCAGCATGACGCTAACAACTGTCACTATGCACAATAACCCATTTAAACTGTTCTACTGCAGTAAACCGGACTGTTTAAACTCTGACAATAAATACAAAAGCAACTCACAAATAAATCAGCGTCTGCTGCCGAAATCGCTTTCGCAACGTTCCTTTTTTTTTCCTTTTGTGCTCCCTGCACAAAAAGTCGTTTATCTACAGCAGTATTTGTCTGATATACTCCAGAACACGCTATTCAGCCATAGGTAGGCAGCAGTGACTAGATGCTTTTGCTGAATGCAAGTGTACACTTTTGAATAATTACAGTCGCAGCCATCGTGCACGGTGGAGACAGTTTATACAGCACTTATAGAGGGAACTGGTATGCAAGAATATAAAATGCCATTTATATTATATAATGCTTTTCATGCAGCTGAAGTACTTTGTAATGAACCAACAGAGTGATGTATGAACACAGATGGACAAAACTGTATACAACCCCAAGCCATCAATACAAACTGACAATATTTGCTCTATTTGCACAACAAATTAAAGATGAAAACATAACAAAAGCACCGAATGTGGTCTGACCTTACTGGCCCTCCTACCACTTAAGGCGACCACTGGATGATACGCTGCACCAAAATGATCCATGATGTTGAATATGCAAGTTTATTAACATAAAAATAAATCATGGTACTTCATTTTTGTCAAAAGTGGGTTATTCACATATTCTTATTCGTATTCTATGACAACTTCTTAACATCATGTGAGGTGTTTTTTTTTACCTTGTGTGCATTTTTAGACTCTTTATCTAAAAAAACAAAGGTTCTTTCTCCAAAGTCGAACTCTAACTTAGTTCTACACGGTTCTATCTGTGAGCCACTCAGCACTTCGAATACAAACAAGAGGACCAATCAGGTTCTGCTTCTTTGTCATATTACTGCACTGCTCAGAAAAGTTAATAGAACTTTATAAACTTGAAAACTCTTGTTGCCTGTCTTCTGACCTGCTACACTTACTTGCCAGGATGGTTTATTACAGTAGCTGGTTTCTGTCTAATCTGAAGGAAACCGAAACTAATGGTTCCTCCCTAAAAGTGACCACTGCACTGGACAAATTATTTAGCTCTGACCTTTAAGCTTAAGCGGCAATGCTTATTTGAATACGAAGAAGATAATTTGTCCTAAAACAAGGATAATTAATAAATAATTAATAAAAAAGTCATAAAAATGTCATAGACAGCATTCAGTTTAACTTTCTGATAATCTGTTAGAACACTATTTTTATGTTTGTTATATTGTATGTATGTTAAATTATGTGTAAACGGTTTGTATACATCGAAAATGATTGCTTCTATCGATGTTTTGCCAGATAAAACCTTATAATTCCAAGCAGAAAGTGATTTCTTAGGATTAGAAGGTTCTATCTGCATTTGACCTGTTTTAAAAAACATATTTACAAATTTGATAGGATTTTGATATTGTGCATTTAAAATACATTTAGGGTGTTTGTGATTTGTATGAATGACACAGACTTGTTCCACATATCAGTTTTGGTATTTGGAATCCAAAATCTCTGAAGCTTAATGTCTCAAAACCGCTCAGAACACAGACAGAACCTTATAATTCCAAGGGGACAATTTATTACAGTATAGGTCAAAATTTTGGGACTGACTGGGCGTGTGTTTTTCTATAATCTTAAATACACTTTGAGTTGATATCTATGTATGAACGTCTTTTTTTCAAAAAGAAATATTTTGGTTTTGTTATATTCTCCTGAAAAAAAAATTCATAGGAACTTCAGAGTTTTGTAGAGGACTGATCTAAAGCTACTGCTGACTGTATTTAAAGACCAGCTTTAGTACTGTTACGTCTGACTCTGACTGCTCTGTGAATGGAAGTATATTTGACTTTATTATAGGCAGGTTAAAGGTGAAATACTGCTGAAGAACCGAACAGCCTGACATCTTTCATAGCTCACAGGGATCTGCTGGAATTTAGGAGACTGAAATCGCTCAGGAAGCATCACTCATCCTGGAGACGTTTAAAGGTGCACACACACATACACGGCCACCAGAGAGCGTGTGTCAGATATGTCTGCAGAAAGGTCAAACAAAAACCTTGTTTCCATGGAGATCCCCTCCCCTGACCAGACATGTCATTGGCATGGCGATACGATATTAAAGCTCTGATATGTAAAGCTGAGGATTTGTGATGAGACAAGGAACACAAAACTCTCTCTCTCTCTCTCTCTCTCTCATATACAGTTGTATGCAAAAGTTTGAACACCCTCGGTCAAACGAGGTTTTGTTGATTTTGTAAGTGAAAATAATTGAACACGTCCACTACAGAGAACACACTTAAATATGGTATCTTCTGCCAATTTTAGTGCACAACTTAGCTGAACAAATTAAAACCTAAAACCTTAAACTTAAAAATCATCAGAACATGGAATTCGACTATCGGCGTACAGACTTTTGCAAACTTTCGTGTCCCTCTAGCTGTAAATGTACATGCTTTTTCAAATCCTGACAATGCAATAGGTTCAGCCAGGCGGTTTTGAAGAGCATTGCTGTGCTTTTTCAGCAAAAAACATCTTTTTTCTGCTTTCTTATTCCTTTCCGGCACCATCCATACCGTATAATATAATGAAACAAAAACACTCTGCATACTGCAGGTCCATTTTTATCCATCCTGTTTTGTGTCAGGTCAGACCAAGAAACCACTCTGGCTGTCATACTTCACATATATAATGTCAGAAACCCCAGCAAGGAAGTCGATTCTCCAGTTGTTTCCTTCAGAAAGCAAAACAAAGCCCTGCTTAAGTTTGACAAATCAGCAATACAACTTTTTCTATCTCTCTTTTTTCCCCCTCAGGCTAACAGCTGCACCTTGTTCAAACCTCAGTGCAGGAGCATTTCATTTTTAATCATGCCTAGAAAACCATCTCTGAATACCAATCACACTCAGGAAGTGCTGATTACTAACAAGCAGAATTGCTGCATCAACAGCGTAACCGCAACAGTGACTCATTCACACTCGCTAGCCACTTTACTGGAAACACCTACCTTTGGCTTCCACTCACTGGCCACTTTATTAGAAACATCTACTTTAAATTCCACTCACTGGCCATTTTAGTTGAAACACCTACCTTGTACTTCCTCTCACTGGCCCCTATATTGGAAACACCTACCTTATATTTTCACTCACTAACCACTTTAATGGAAACAACATCTTTGTGCTTCCACTCAATGACCCTTTGATTAGAAACACCACTCTAATAAGTCCATTATCAGCTGCCCTCTACCACATTCATCACTAATCAGCCAAGAGAGGCTCTGCAGTCAGAAACTGACCATTGATAAAGGATGATTAACGCAAACAGATGAGCTACAGTCTCTAACTGCACACCAACAAAGAGGAGCTACATGGTGTTTCCAGTAAAGTGGCCAACAGCTTATCGGTGGATAATAGGAGGACTACGTTATTATCCTCATAAAAAGAATATCATGTTTTACAAATCCTATAATAAACAATGAAAATAAATGATGGGAATCCAACCAAGCTCCAGGCAGCTATGCTCTTCAAAACTGTCTGTTTGCGATTTACTACACTGTGATATGCTACTATCAGCTAAAGTATCAGCTAAACAACAACAACAGTGTTTTTCAACCTAATCTTTATCTGCTGCATCTGCAGCTTACGGTCAACTGACTCAAAATTCAGAAGTCAATGGGCAGTTACTTCCATTGACTTCTATTAAACATAAAGGTCAAGTCAAAATGATTTTCCATACACTACAGATACAGATTAAATTGAACAAGCTTTAATGAACAACACTGTCTTCTCAACCAATTCCCACTGCATGCAAGGGAGGTGGCATGCACCTCTGCGCTGTATTTAGGGCATTAGCAGCACGCTAAATGCTAAACATGCAGATGCTTGGGCCACGAGGCCGCACACTGTATGAAAGCGGGGAAAGTGGCAAACACAAATAAGATTCAAGTCATTTATGCTTGCCTTAAGCATGTAATACAGTCTGATACAGTACTTTACAAAGTCAGGGATCACTCGGTTTATTTTATTGCCAGTCAAAAAGACCATTAAGTACAAGTTATTCATATTTCAGCATCAGGAAAATTACATAGAAACCTCAACAACTAAATAAAACATTTAATAATTTTTTTTTCACAACTCCAAAGTTCAGTCTTAGAAGTTGGTTGCATTTTCTGCTTCTCACAATCCAAACAATTCCCAGTTTGTGAGTTCAGACCATGAAGATCTAGTATGAGGGAAGACTGATTGAGGGAGGAGGGAGAACTGAGAAGTTCAGGGCAGCTTCTGTCTGTAACTAGAAGGCCAGACCCCCCCTTCATAGCTGTAATAGGACTAATGTAGGATTTAGGAACAGGGAGGAGATGGGGTGGCGGTGGGGACCGTTAGCCCTTTCATCACAGGAACGGAAGGTAAGGATGTGAATTTATAGGGCATTAGATTGGAGGAAGGAGGGGTTTCAGGCAGGTCTCTCCCCCAAACTTCAGTTTTAACATAACTACCTTACAAATTTAGACTTGTTGGTTTATAAAACATAATTACTGCAATTTATTCCACTCAGATGTCCAGTTTCGATGTGCGATTTTCTCCTCTCTCTCAAAGATAAAAGCTTTAAATGCTGTTTATCTGATGGGGACAGTTTTGGTGGTCTACCAGGTATTGCAGGTGGTTGCTAGGAATCTCATTTTTTCTGTGTGTTAAGAATTTTTTTAAACTCCTGCTTTTCACTTATTTTCCTTTGACCTACTCCTTCCTTATTCAAGTGAATTTATAACTAATCCCTGCAGAAATATATACTTTAAAAAAACAAATGTGTGCTTAATGGCTGTTTTGACTGGAAATTTAATAAATAATAGGTGGTCTTTGACTTCTGGACAGTACTGTATGTACAGCATTACATCACTATTGCACTACTGCAGGAGGAAAGTGCTGGTGATGAATTGCATGTAGAAAGATCATAGAGTGGATAATTACTTGTTCATACTGTAACTGTGAGCAGTTTGTCATACAAGGCTGGTGGTGGACCTTGTGATGAGAGAGAGAGAGAGAGAGAGAGAGAGAGAGAGAGGGAAAGAAGAGATAGAAAAAGTGTAAGAGAAAACACAGATAACGTCTTGGTAACTATGAAGGTCATGCTTGTGAGGAACAGTTAAAGATGTGTGGTTTTTAGGGTTGGACAGAACTTTCTATACAACGTATATATGTCATGTTTATGTCTGCATATGGGTGTAATGGTGGCCCCCTCTACCTGCGAGCTGCTCGAGTAGCGCCCAGGTGCGCGGGAGGCGGAGCTTTTGCTGGATCCCATAGATGAGTCCACACTCTTTCCACTGTAGCAATGAGTCCGCAAACACTTTCCATACTCTTTACGCACCTACACACAAACATACATTCACGCAAACAGCAACAGTGAAATAGAAAGGTGACAGTTTAAGACTTAAAGCGATTTTTAATTCCTATGAAAGTTGGTTCTTAGGGACACAGAGAACAACCAGCAACAGGCCTACAGGAAGCCTGTGTGTGTACATTATATATATATATATATATATATATATATATATATATATACACACACACACACACACACACACACACACACTGACCGGCCACTTCATTAAGTCCACCACCTTGTATCTACACTCATTGTCAATTTTATCAGCTCTACTTACCATATAGGTGCACTCTGTAGTTCTACAGTTACAGACTGTAGTCCATCTGCTTCTGTTTGCCCCCTTTTACCCTGTTCTTCAGTGGTCCGGACCCCCACAGGACCACCAGAGAGCAGGTACTATTTGGTTGGTGGATCTTTCTCAGCACTGCAGTAACACTAACGTGGTGGTGGCGTGTTATTGTGTGATGCGCTGGTACGAGTGGATCAGACACAGCAGTGCTGCTGGAGTTTTTTAACACTGTGTCCACTCACTGTCCACTCTATTAGACAAACCTACCTTTTTGTTCCATCTTGTAGATGTAAAGTCAGAGACGATAGCTCATCTGCTGCTGCATAGTTAGTGTTGGTCATCCTCTAATCCTTCATCAGTGGACACAGGACGCTGCCCACAGGACGCTGTTGGCTGGATATTTTTGGTTGGTGGACTATTCTCAGTCCAGCAGAGACACTGAGGTGTTTAAAAACTCCAGCAGCACTGCTGTGTCTGATCCACTCAGACCAGCGCAACACACACTAACACACCAACACCATGTCAGTGTTACTGCAGTGCTGAGGATGATCCACCACCCAAAAAATACCTGCTCTGGTGGTCCTGTAGGGGTCCTGACCATTGTATAATAGAGTAAAAGGGGGTTGACATAGTATGCAGAGAAACAGATGGACTACAGTCTGTAACTGTAGAACTACAAAGTGCTCCTATATGGTAAGTGGAGCTGATAAAATGGACAATAAGTATAGAAACAAGGAGGTGGTTTTAATGAAGTGGCTGGTCTGTGTAGGTACTTATATATACATAAAACACTGTACAAAAACGCATGTATGTGTGCGTTTGTATGTATGGTGCTCTTTTATGTTACCTTCTTCTGCAGGACGCAGTGGAAGATGAAGATGAACATGCCCTGTAGAGAGTTGAAGATGGTGAAGAGATAGGCCATGATCACTGTGCTCTCGTTCACGTACATCAGACCAAACGCCCAGGTCAGACCCAGCAAACACAGCAGAGCTATAGCACCGATCACCCACGATCTGGAATGAAAACACACACACACACACACACACACACACAAACACACACACACATATATATTTTAGAGCTAAGTCCAGGAAAACAAAAATGTTACTAAGGGGAAGAGGGTTTGGGTCACATCATGTCTCTGCGAAGGCTGAAAAACACAAGGTGCACTGCACTGCCCTTTTTTCCATCAGGGTTTCAAGGTGCAGTTTGTTGGAGACTACACTTTTCCATGTTGCCAAGCAACAACATCCTGACAATAAGCAGTGTTTATATCTAGGAACTTTAAATTTTTGTATCAAAATTGCTGTTTTAAAGACTGTCATTTTCATATCTCAAGAGCTCCAATTTTGATCATGTCTTTCTATTGTTACAGGTGTCTTCATTTGTTTTAAGTGGGGAAAGAACAGAGTTTGTGAACCATCATTCCTTTGAGAAACTGATCTACTGTTGATTTGGAGTGCTCTCTATCAGGGTTATTATCGTTCATTAGTGTTCGTATTTTAGTGTCTAGTTTTTCATTTTGATTTTCCAATTTCAGATTAGTCTCAGTTTTAAGAGTCCTCTAGTGATAGTGATGGGAACTAGACGTCTAAAGAGTTTATTGCCTCACAGGATGTTTTTACAAGACATGGTTATGAATATGCTGTCTGAGACACTGTTTACCAATAGTTTTGAGGTAAAGTTTTGGCAGAGAGGTCCATGCAGGTTGTATTAAGGCAAAATAGGACGAAAAAAAAAATTCCACTATTTACAGTGATTAAGATTACATTTTAAAACACAGAAGACAAATAGCTTCACTGTTCATGTATAGTAAATAAAATGGCAATATTAGTGTTGTAGACACTGTGACCCCTGGTTCCTATCACCACCACTGTGAAGAAATCAGAGTCACTAAGTTTCTCTACAATGAAGCACTTCACATCAAACCATTTTTAATGAGTTGGTTTACATTTTAATGATTGGACTAGGCAGAAATGTTAAAAAATGGGTGGAATTCTCCTTTAATAATCATAATAATATAATATATTTTTTGTTAGTTTTTTGTTTAGTTTGATATTGAAATTTGGTTTTTGGTGTTATGGTGAATATTTTGTCAGAAACCAGCTAGCGAAAACATTGTTTTGCTGCTGTTTTTTGCTTCAGTAATACTTTCATTAACAATAATCCTGCTCTGTACAAAAAACAGATGGAAAAATAAAAATAATAAGCAAGTGAATAAATAAGAGGTCCGGTTTTTTCCTTCTCCTGCAAAGCAAAACATATCTCAATGAAAGTAATTAGACAAAGTGCCTCAGTCCACAAAAAGGTGCACATAATTCACGTTATTCGATGAGCACAGATCCTTAAAGGCCTAACCCTAAGCCCACTCACACTGAAGTTATAAGTAGTGTTTCAGCCTGGATTACATTTTGAATGAGGCACAATACAGGGCAGCCAATCAGAACACAGCTCATTTACATACACTAGACTTAAAAGAACAGTCTGTTTAATTCTGTTGACAAGGAGAGGTTGGAAAATGATCATGTGCAAATGAATTCTGACTGCTAGAACAGAAATACAGATAAAGGTTCTAAGAGACATATAGGGAATCTGTAGAATATGAGCCGTTTATTTCTCTGCTGTTGCACCATCTGCATGTGGATTCTCCATAAACATCAGAGGAGTTACAGGTGAAAATACTCAAACACACAGAAAGACAGACAGCAACAAATGAAAGCAAGCAAGAAAGAAAGAAAATGAAAGCAAGAGACAGAGAAAGAGAGACAGGCAGAGAGAAAACGAGGTGAAGATATCAAAGTGATGCAGTGGTGCAGGGTGGCTGTGACGGAGCGGCTGTAATCAGTGAGAAAATGCTTCAGCAGAGAGTTGTAGAGCCGCAGGGCCTCCGGTTTTACTGCCCTGATTACAAACCTGCACTAATTTAAAACTCCTGCATTACCTACTCACTAATGATTCACACTGGGTTTAGAAGAACTAGCATGCTAGCGCACACTTTCTGTCACAAGCATGCACATTAAAGCCCTTAATCTCTGAGGGTCTGTAGATGAGGGACCACACTCCAGTTCCTCACTCTCATAACTACAAAACACATTCGTTTCATAGTAGTTACTGAGTAACACACAGTCATATGCAAAGGTTTGAACACCATTTTTGTGTCAATTAACTTATGTAACAAACTTAAATATTAGTGCACAATTTTAATTTATTTGCTGAACTTAACATATTGGAAAAAAATAGAACATAAAATATTAAATGCACCATTACTTTTGCACAGGCTACATGTTTCATTTTTTTCCTAATATGTTAAATTCAACAAATAAAAATGTATCTATACACAAACGTGCAGAAGTGTGTTCACTTATATTCAAAACATCATTCAATAATTTGAACGGGGTGCCAATACTATTGCATACGAATGCAAATGAGATCTGATTAACTGAGCCATGTTCTAAGCCATTGTTACACACTGGATATACATGTATATGACCGCAAACATCAGCTGAACTGTGTATTGATGCAAGCTATTAAAGTATCTCTGATTGCCATGTTGCTTAGCAACCATAGGCTACTGCTACTGAACTATATAACTTGTTTTGTGTGATTATAATTGATAATAAATGTGATTTTCTAAAATGGAAAGTTCTGGTCCTAAAATCTGATGAGCTGCGTTCGAAAGTGCTGTAAAATGATCAACAAGACGGACACCTTTGACCACTTCACAACAACTGACCTCTGTAATGAACTGAAATGAATGAACTGTTAAAAAATAAGGCAGATGACCTATTTTGTCTTAACAATTAGGTCAGTGGTCTTCACCCCTGGTCTAGGAGAGCGACCTTCCTAAAGATTTTAGTTCCAACATGTATCCTCTAAGCTACCCTGTCTCTCACTTAACTCTAATACGTCTGATTCAGCCAATCAGGGACTTGGGAAGATGGTGATTAGCTGTAGCAGGTGTGGCACATTGTGGTTGGAACTAGGCTCTGTAAGAAGGTAGCTCTCCAGGGTTGGAAACCACTGAACTCAGCTAAAAGACAGCAGGCTAAACAGGCTAAAACACAGCTTATATGTTAAACTGCTTCTCCAATAATATTCAGTGTTAGGCTTTGACAAAGTATTTATCCCTAAAATGAATGTCTTGCACTGTCTCACTTTAAATGTTCATGTTTGTAGTAGATCTGCCTTAGGCAGTTTTAAACTTAGGGTGGGAAACAAATGATGCAAACAGCTTACATGCTAACACAACACAGGGAATCCCACGTAGGTGTTAGTGGAAAAAATCAGCATTATCACTGCAGGGGCAATTTGGTGAGCAAAAACTACTTGGAAATGGTGTCTGCATTAAACACTGCAATATTATGATATGTTCATGGGTGTATGACAACGAAATGACTGCAATATACAATAAGGGGTGACTGAATGTGATTGTCCTATTTGAGCGCTCCATACTTGCTTTGTAACAACAGCACACTCTCAATTATTATTATTAATCAATGACATTATTTATCATGCATTGGTATATTGTATTACATTTTGCTGCTATTTTATAAAAGCCACTCAACGACATACAGTTATTTTACAGTGTACCACGGTTAGGAGTTGTTAGGCACATCTAAAAAATTGAGCTTATTAAACTAATGACACAGAAATATTGCCAAACTGAGTCAAACACGAACATTGGCTCTTCATTCATAAAGCAGTGATATTGACAGCACAGTGTGCAGGATATGTCTGTGTTTTGGGGGTTGATATGGAGTGGGACATTTCTTTATCAGTTGTGTCTCATACTGAGGAAGCTGTGATGACAGGAGTGGAACACTCCTATGTAAGTTACAGAACATATGAATGAGAGAGCGGAAACAGTAGCTGAGCTTCAGCTTTCTATAAAAGGGTTTATGTAGATTATACAGATGAATACAGATTTCAGTTAATATAGATTACACTGATTTATAGAGATTATACAGTTTAATATAGATTAAACTGATTTATGTAGATTACTCAGATTTATACTGATTATACAGACTTATATAGATTTATACAGCTCACGCATACAGTTGTGCTTACTTTATCTCTGGCTCATAGTCCTCATAACTGAAAAACATGGAAGAAAGAAAGAAAGAAAAAAAGAAAGAAATGATGAGGAAAGAAAACGGTAAAGAAAAAGAAACATTGAAAGATGAAATTCAGCAGAAAAACAAAACCCACAAAGAAAATTGAGGTAATTAACCTAGCCATGCTCCGCCCACAAATGTGTTCTTTCATAGCTACTGTTGGTAGGTTAGACAAGCTTTGAAGAACGTCGGCCATCCCATTCAAAAGGAATGGATCTATTATGCTTTTCAAGTTTTTATAGCATTTTGTGCATGTAAACTGTCTGCAAAGTTACAGAGCTCAATGTATGTGCCAGAGTAAGTAACTCTCTCCCATAGAAACCACTTTTCTTAGCTGTTTGAAATGCCTTGCTGGAATTCCAGCCCTTAGATAATGCAGTCTCGTAACACAATCCTAATTGCTGAGAATAGTTAGTTCAGTTCTGTAGCCATGTCGAGAAGACTTTGACCTGACTTTCAGGTTTGCATTGTAGTTCAAACTGATACATCAGAACCGGCACCTTTGTGTAAACTGCCACAGTGGTGTTTACAGCTGGTTAGGAGACTCCAAGACAGGGGAGGAACCTGTAGGTGTGGAACCACTCTGGCGGTTGACCAATCAGAACAGACTGGTTGAGCTGACCAATCAGAGTATGGCAGCCTCACTGGAAGGTGGGGCTTAAAGACAGAGCACTTCAGACAGAAGGTAAATAGAGATGTACAGGATGAGAAAAACTATGTGTTTTTAGAACACTGAAGTGTGAATTGATTCTGGTAGACCCCAAAAATACCAAATTTATAGAAAATTGTATCAGTTTTGTTTAAAATGAGGGGCAGACAACTTACTTTCCAAACAAATAACCGGTTAAACAGGTTAAACAGACTAAACCATTAATATTCATTGTTAGACTTAACAGTCT